AACTTAAAAATAGAGGGATAGAAGCATTTTTTGGGAAATTTTGTTGACTAAACCGCCTTCGGTTGTTTGTATGTCGTAGATCTCAAAAAAAGAGAGAGAGAGGGGGGGAGGCCAATGCCCAAGAAAGAAAGAAAAAAGAAAACTCAAGGGAGGCCAGCGCCCAAAGTAAAAAAAAAAAAAGGTCGAGGAGCCACACACGCTGACTAGGGTGTCGCCTACACAATCTTGGGCGTCGACCAGACTGTCCCCGGCGTTGCCCGTGCAGTCGAGGGCCTCGCTGTGACACCCCAAAATTCGAGTGGCTGTAATTATCCGATTGATCATCCATTAACCCCTCGGAATACTTGTGAATACCGTGTAATTCGATATCACACCGTTATGTTCCATTTCTCAGGATCCATAACTTAACAAAATTTGGACAGAGTCACTTTTGTACGAGAAACTCTATCCAAAACGCAACTTGTATAATATTGACCACATCGGGTTTATCCATCCATTGACAATTGTATAGTTTCGAATACTACCATAATCATCATCAGTATATACATTTATTCGTAAAAGAATAAATGTCCCAAAAGAGTCTCATATACATGCTTTTATAAATATAAACAAGTTTTTGTTACAAAAATTATACAAGTCCAAAAGTAAATATAAACAAGGGACTACAATGTCAAAATAAGAGCCACAGATCGACTCTATTGTCAAAGCGGGCCCATGGCCTCGCCTTCGGCGGACAGCTGTGCGATACCTGAAAAATATTCTCATAAAGGGTGAGTCAATGCTCAATAGGGGTATCTCCTATAGAGAATACCTCTCAACCTAAATGCATATAGAATGTCACATGCAACAATCATTTGATGCAGTCATTCAAATATGTCTATTATGATCAAATGTCATAAATCATGTCATACTATAAGATGAGATTCACGCAAGCAATACCAAACCCTGAGCCCCATCCTGAGCTCTCATAACACATGCAATGTCATGCGTATGTATCTGGGCATTTCAAGCTCCCATCATTGGTGTTATGTACACTCAATGACTAATTAATTCATTTTCTTGTGTTATTATGGGGAGGTGATTTGTGGTATTACACCAATGAGACACCAACCATCAACGGATCTTCAGGACATCCCACCTACGGCTCCGTTTTTGCCGTTAAACTTTTTTGAATTTTCACCGCCGAAAAGTGTATAAACCAAGTAAGCGGGTCTTGCACCCGAGGGAGAATTTAGCCCTTTTTACTGTCCCCAACACATTTATCCATTTAATTTTCCGTGTGACTTAGTCAAACCTTGGTGTGACTTTTTCGAGCCCACGATCAATCACCTATGTGGTGATTAATTTCATACCATGCATACACTCCCACTCATGCCAATGCCCATGCATAATACAATACAATATCCATTACATAATGAATACAATATAATGATATTTTAACACGATCTCAAGCATGTTAAGTAAGATAATCAACTCAACTAACATACTTGTATTCACCTAGGTATTTAATCAAACACCTACAGAGCACATCAATTTACACAACTAGCATGTTATGACTTTCAACATGTCAACATGTTTATTAATTATATAAACATAAGCACAAGTCCACCAAAATAATCATATGTTAAATAATCTTTTAACATATATATTATTTCATAATCACATAACAAGCTAATAATTTTATTAAACTTGATATGCCATTAAAACATAAAATAATGCTAATATACAATTAACATGTTTTAAACCACTAACATTAACTTACACCAAGTTAATCGTAATATGATTTTATTAATTACAATGTTAATTATAAATCCTATGTTTGACCCACAAGTTACACTAGTCAAGACCTAATATGTGATATACACCCATAGCCTACCGATTCTATATGCCATATTTTAAGTTGAAATTAAATCTAAATAGGGGAAACCCTACCTCTTGTAGCGTGAGGCCACTTACTAGAACTCCAAAGAAGCCCAAATTTAGTTTCCTAAGCCTTAGGTCTAAATTATCGATTTTGATATTTTTTCGGAGAAAAATACGATATTTTGTGTAGTTGCGTAGCTCTCGCTGAGTAGAGCAACTTTAATTCTTGGTCCGAAACGATTTAACGGTCCAATCTTCATAGATCTGAAGAAGAAGAAAGGAGTAAAAGAAAGAAAAAAAAAAAGAAACTCTTTTCTCTCTCTCACTCACTTGGCACCCGCTGGAGAAAGGAAAAAGTGGAAGACTTAGTCTTCCACACACATTTATATATATAGTATAAACTTAACTTTTTTTTAAAATTTTTTTTTACGTTTTTGACCCTTATACTAACAATTAATTATTATGTCACCCCTTTAATTTAGATTTTTAATAATAATAATTTTTTAATTTTTTTTTTCGGGTTTTGCATTCGCCCCTTGGTTCTAGCGTCGCCTAGCATGCCCAGGAAGCTGTCCAACCATAGAGCTATCAGAAGAAGAGAAAAATTTCTCAGAATAGAGGAGTAAGAAGCCCAAGAAGTTAACACCGTAGAGAATAAGAAATTAAGAGCTCACTCATGCTCTCAACCCACCTTCTCTCACCAGTAGTCGAAGGCTTGGGACATGGGGGTCAAATGATGAGCTCAAAATTAACTGAGTCAAACCCAATAAAACAAGGAGTCCAAATCAATCGGGCTATGCCCAAAGGAAAACTAAGACATCAGTGCCTCGAAGGAGACCCAAAGGGGCCACCCAAGGAGGCCACCCAAAAGGTGCCGCCCAAGGGGACCCCTGCTCTCCTTTGTTCCACGCTCCCTCCTTACTTTGCCACTCTGACTCAAGTCCAATCCAGTTCAATCCAACTTAAGTCCAACTCAACTCAGGTTCTTCCTCCAACGGAATAGGAGAATGAGGGAAAGAATATTGGAATACGCATTATGGAGATTTAGTTCTACCATAACTGTACTTACTAAAAAGTAGTGACCGCCTCACCAAACCTATATAATATAAGCCCTTTCCACATAGAGGACATCACTAGATTACCTTGAAACCTCACACATACCTCTCTACACACATTGTTCCTCTCTGCCAAGGCATTGTAATTCACCCGAAGTACACTTTCTCGGTGACTTTTATTTGTCAATAAAGATCTCCAACCACCGCTGTCGTGTCCGAGAGTGGAGTATGTCACTCGAACTTAATCATTATAAATCTGCTTGTTTACTCTTATTTACTGTTTTACTATTAATTGTCTATTCATTACTCATTAATTATACATTTATATATATTCGATTGTTAATTTGAGTTAATGCAATGCAAAAACTCAATTCACTAGCGGTGGTTTCGTTTTACGAGGTCAAATTAATACGTTCTAAGTAAAAATATCTATATATAAATCTCATTGATCTCATAAGTATTTTCCATGTCTTTTCTGGTAGAACCAAACCATCAAGTTTTAAAATTTTTTTTTACGTTTTTGACCCTTATACTAACAATTAATTATTATGTCACCCCTTTAATTTAGATTTTTAATAATAATAATTTTTTAATTTTTTTTTTCGGGTTTTGCATTCGCCCCTTGGTTCTAGCGTCGCCTAGCATGCCCAGGAAGCTGTCCAACCATAGAGCTATCAGAAGAAGAGAAAAATTTCTCAGAATAGAGGAGTAAGAAGCCCAAGAAGTTAACACCGTAGAGAATAAGAAATTAAGAGCTCACTCATGCTCTCAACCCACCTTCTCTCACCAGTAGTCGAAGGCTTGGGACATGGGGGTCAAATGATGAGCTCAAAATTAACTGAGTCAAACCCAATAAAACAAGGAGTCCAAATCAATCGGGCTATGCCCAAAGGAAGACTAAGACATCAGTGCCTCGAAGGAGACCCAAATGGGCCACCCAAGGAGGCCACCCAAAAGGTGCCGCCCAAGGGGACCCCTGCTCTCCTTTGTTCCACGCTCCCTCCTTACTTTGCCACTCTGACTCAAGTCCAATCCAGTTCAATCCAACTTAAGTCCAACTCAACTCAGGTTCTTCCTCCAACGGAATAGGAGAATGAGGGAAAGAATATTGTAATACGCATTATGGAGATTTAGTTCTACCATAACTGTACTTACTAAAAAGTAGTGACCGCCTCACCAAACCTATATTATATAAGCCCTTTCCACATAGAGGACATCACTAGATTACCTTGAAACCTCACACATACCTCTCTACACACATTGTTCCTCTCTGCCAAGGCATTGTAATTCACCCGAAGTACACTTTCTCGGTGACTTTTATTTGTCAATAAAGATCTCCAACCACCGCTGTCGTGTCCGAGAGTGGAGTATGTCACTCGAACTTAATCATTATAAATCTGCTTGTTTACTCTTATTTACTGTTTTACTATTAATTGTCTATTCATTACTCATTAATTATACATTTATATATATTCGATTGTTAATTTGAGTTAATGCAATGCAAAAACTCAATTCACTAGCGGTGGTTTCGTTTTACGAGGTCAAATTAATACGTTCTAAGTAAAAATATCTATATATAAATCTCATTGATCTCATAAGTATTTTCCATGTCTTTTCTGGTAGAACCAAACCATCAAGTGGGGTCTTTTTTTTTGTTATAAGGCGTTTAAATTTGTGTCGAGTATTCTCTCAATGTTAATGACTGACCATCATGGTTTGAGCTGGATTAACCATGATTTGAGTTAGGTTAGAACAAGTCCCTAAATGAACAATAATGACTAACCCTTAAAAAGATTTAAGAATGAATTGAACCTAAAATTTTTGAGTTATAAAGTATTAAACTCAATCACCGAATTACCTTTAAAAATTTCATCAGCCGGGTTTGTTGATCTATTTATTATTTAAATTTATTATTCAAACTTTTTTTTTGACAATATTATAAAAAAAGAAATTCAAGCCCGATAAGATACAACAAGAAGATCTAGTGATACGCCCCGGTTTCGTTGGGCTTAAGGCACCTCCGATTCTATTGGTTCCTAACAAGTTTTTTATTTATTAATTACTATAAATATCAAATACACCACATTTTCCTTCAACCCGTCTACGATGAGAATTACAGCATAAAACCCCTGCCTCTCTCTCTCTCCACTCCTCACCGTTGTTCTTTGCCATTCAAAACCTAAAATCGAGCTTCAATTCTCTCAAGGGCCAAGGTTTGTGATCTCTCCACCGATCGATCCGATTCAATTTCATCTATTTTTCTTTAATTCTATAGATTTTGCGAAACTCCTGAATTGGGGGAGGGATTAAATATGGGCGGCGGCGGTGATGGTGTTGTGGCCAACGACGGAAGCGAATCGAACAGCAACGCCGGCGGTGATGGAGTCACCATCAACGTCCGATGCTCCAACGGTTCGAAGTTCACCATACAGGCAATTCTCGAGTCCACCGTCGGATCGTTTAAGTCCGTCCTCTCTCAGAACTGCGAAATACCTGTGGAACAGCAGCGACTGATTTACAAAGGCAGGATCTTGAAGGACGATCAAACACTGGAAAGCTACGGTATCTAATGAAATCCTTCTGTATTTGTGTAACGTTAAGTTTTCTCCATGTGATTCGATAATAGTGCAAAAATATATTTAAGTTTTTACTTGAATTTGTCTGTTGTGTCTGTTTTGGGATCGATCTTTATGTTGTGATTTATGTATGACTTGTTGATCGGTTTACTTTTGTATCGTTAGAGAATTAGGATTGGTTGCTTATACGTGGAGAGCTTGTTTAAAGGGAATTGAACATCAGTTTATCATGAGTTTGTTCTTTATGGTACAAAAGGATGAGAAAGGCTTGAATTGACTGAGAGATTTAGGTTTATAGTTTATATATCCTCCGGTAAATTCATTTGCTTGAGCAATTAATGTGTTTTTTCAGCATTTTACTCTCGGCTGCAGTTCCAAATTTCGCTAAGACTTGTCCTTAGGAAGCAAACTAAGTTTCAGTTGAGAAACATAGAATGCAAGGTAAAGAAAACAGAACAATATGTGGATAAATTACATATTTGCGGAATTGAAAGAACTCGTGAAAGAGCAACTTATATCAGGGTCATTAAAAGATTCATGAAGAAAAAGACTTTTCTCCATCTTGTCAACTGAAATATTGGAAGTTGACGTGTTCAATCGTTTTTCTAATTGTTTAGTTGAACAGACTCTGGAAAAAAGCAGTAGCAACGGGCACTATGCTTAATATCCTTCTTCGATGTGTCCATACTCCAGTTGTCCCTGGCAAATAGAAAGCAGATTCAGGAAAGGTCGACTAACCCTGAGAAAAATTAATGCCAATAGATAATGTTCCATATTATGCCCCTCCTTACATGTGGCAGACCGGGTTGGAACGAGCAAATTCATATAATTATTAAATGGTTATCTGGCCATTTTTTTGCCATCATCTTAGGATGAGGAGCCTCTCTCTCTCTCTCTCTCTCACACACACACACACACACACACAAACAAATCAAACACACATCGTTTAACACTCTTAGATAATATCAGGATAAGATTTAAGCGTTGATTCCAGAAAAAAAATGTGGCAATGTCTTCTACATCTGTAACGATTTTGATAGAGAACGACTTTCTGTATTGGATTCAAGCTGTTTATTAACACGTTGGCGATCATGTACCTTTCTTCCTAGAAAGAACAACATCGACTTGGGAATAAGATGGTTAAAAGATTTTTTTCGTGAAGCAGCGTGCTCCTACGGGCTATTTAGATGGTGGAGACTCTTTTGGGCTTCACCAGCATCATTCTCTTATGTTTTTAGTATCTTCGCTCTCTTCCGTTTCTGATTCTTTTAGGCATCCAATTGTTCTACATTAATGTATGGAGAGTTAAGTGTTTCTACTTTATCCATTTGTGCATAAATCTTGGAATGTGTAGAGAACTAACATTAGGTAAACAGCCCCACAGCAGACCTTCAAAATTTTGTACTTGCACCTATTTTTCATTTTTTACTCTGTCTACAATTCATAGGTTTGGAGGCAGACCATACTGTTCATTTGGTTCGTGGTTTTGCACCTGCTGCATCTGCAAACGTTACAGGTGCAACCAACACTGGCACTCCAAATACCACTTCTACTGTAACAAGAGATGTTGGATCCAATGAAGGTGGGGCATATGACGGATCCAACTTTGGAGCATCACTATTTCCTGGTCTTGGTTTGAATGGATTAGGAAGTGGTGGTGGCCTATTTGGAGCTGGACTTCCGGAGTTTGAACAAGTGCAGCAACAGTTGACACAGAACCCCAACATGATGAGGGATATTTTGAACTTGCCGATTGTTCAGAATCTTATGAATAACCCAGACATTATGCGAAACTTGATGATGAATAATCCTCAGATGCGTGAAATTATTGATCGCAATCCGGAGCTGGCGCACATTCTCAATGATCCTAATACTCTCCGTCAGACAATGGAGGCTGCACGAAACCCTGAACTCATGCGTGAGATGATGCGCAACACTGACAGAGCTATGAGCAATATTGAATCTTCTCCTGAAGGATTTAACATGCTCAGGCGCATGTATGAAAATGTCCAAGAGCCGTTTCTAAATGCAACTACGATGGCTGGGGACACTAGGAATGATTTAGCCTCAAACCCATTTGCAGCTCTTTTGGGAGTCCAAGGTGAGGGGGCAGGAAGAAATCAGACGACTAATCCTACGACCAATGGTTCTGAAATATCTGCTAATTCTCCTGCTCCAAATACTAATCCACTTCCGAACCCTTGGTCCTCTGCTGCTGGTAAGCTTGCACCATCTCTTTGCTCTTTTACTTCTTTAGAACATTTCTGCCACTGACTCTGAACCTATTGCAGATTTTTATTCATCTTCTTTGGTCTTCTGATCAGTTATTTTGTATTTGATGCACTGTAGAAGTTTAAACTTATAATTGTGTGAAGTTGAATAGAAATTTTGGTCACTTTTCTGGAAATTTGAGATCCCTTAGCCGCTGAACTCATGGATGAAATTCCAGTATGCTTAATGCTTATTATTTGAGTCAGCAAGATATTTGACTGGTATGATCCCCAAAATTTATATGTATACGTACCCAATACAATGTTTGTAATATTCATTGATTTTTGATCGAACTTCCTCTTAACTCGCTAGAAATTTTTGTGAAACTGCCTCAAAATTGTATTATGCCTACTTTGTTTGAACTGGCTGCAGTTATCTGTGCACCAGAACTGGCTTAGATTTATTTTTTATTCTTCGTCTTAATGCCAATGAGGCTTAAGAATTCTTTGATATTAAATTTGGAATAACTTGTTTGTTGTTTAAAATGCTTTATATTCAAAATTTCCTAGTTGGTACTAGTGAATTGGTAACTCATATTGAATATCTGGCAGCTGGAGGTGCCCAAACAAACACCACTACAAGGTCAAATCCTGCTGGTGATGCTAGGCCAGTGCCACCTGGTGGCTTAGGTGGACCTGGCTTCTCAAATTTGGACCAAATGCTAGGTGCCATGCCCGATCCCTCTTCATTGAATCAGATTATGCAGAATCCTGCTGTACCAGAGATGTTGCAAAGTCTCCTCTCCAACCCTCAACACATGAACCAGGTTTTACTTTAGTTTGTCATTTTCAGGCCGGCCCAAGGCCCTGGGCTTTAGGCCCCAAAATTTCTAAGTGCATAGTTAGTGCAAATCAAAAAAAAATTTAGATCAATAAGATTTTAGTCTCCCAAAAAAGCTCTATAAAATTTAAACCCAAACAACAATAAATTTGAGTAGTTTGGGCTCATTAACCCAACCCATAATATTAAAAATACACCAAAACAAATTTTTTAGAAAAAAAAAAAAAGCAAACGCTAAGGGTTAACAAAAATTCAAACCGGTCAACCAAAACACATCACTCATTTTTACCCATTCTCTCTCTCTGTCTCTCTCTGCTCAAAACATAAAATTTTAAAATAGAAAGCCTCACTTTTAGTTGCCGTTTTAGGTCACTAATAATCTTGGGCCGCCTCTGGTCCTACTAGAAAAGTTACAATTGATTTTCAGGTTTCTTATTCTCTATTTGTATCGATTTTTAGGTTTTTGGTCTCAATCCGCAACTTTGGAACATGCTTGATTCCAATTCCCAGCTTAGAGAGATGCTGCAAAACCCTGAATTTGTTCGGCAACTGACATCCCCCGAGACAATACAGGTACATTGTTTAGAAGATCTGTGTGTGTGTGTGCACACGTGCTTGCATCTGTCTTTTAATAGGCACCCACAGAACATATTAAAAAAATAAATAAAGAAACTCCAGACATGCTGCACTTGTTGGATAATATGCTGTAGTGAGAGTCCAGTGGAATGATGGGATGGCTTATACTATCTCCCTATGGCTAAATTGCATTTTAGGCTCTCAATGAGTGTTTGGAATCTGATATGTATCTGTAAAGTTTCCACAATCCACATAATAAGCTTCACGGTAGTGGCAAACCCATGCACTAATTTATTGACTTCACCTCAAGAAGGCTGTTTTCCAACTAGCTGTCGTTGGCTGCATGAAACCTCAGTTGCCGTTTGGCACTAGTTTCTCAACTTATTACCGCTGTTTTTGAAGTCTGGCTATTTTTGGACCACTTCGGTGCAAGGTCTGGATTCAAATCTTCTGCTGGAGTTCTCTGGCTCATCCTCTATCACAAGAGAAGAGAAAGAAAAAAAAGGGGGGGGGGATCTCTGCTCCCATGCATGTGCTTGGCTGAAGGAAATGATATACCAAAAAATGTGGAATAAGAGGTGAAAAATACCAATAGGTATTCTGACCAGAAGACCTTTTCAACATCACTCTTGAACCCTGCAACAGCAGTGTGACTTGCCTTTCTTTCTCCCTCCACCACCCCTTGTTTTCTCACACATTCTGATGAAAACCTGTATGTGATTACATGCGATCCAGTATCTCCAGATTCTCCACTTTACTTGTTATGGTTAGATATGTTAATTTGTTCACAATGGTGTTTGTTGGCTTTATTTTGAAGGTGTATAACACCCCTAACCTCTTTGAGTTGTTTGAAATTCCTGGCATACATCCTTAAAATCTGCAGTGCGGATAGTATAATGAGAACTGAAGTATCATAAAATCCAAAATGCGGAAAGGGAGATGGGAGAATACCCTTTTTTTTTTGGGGGGGGGGTGGCGGTGGGGGGTTGATTTTTGCTAAGTTTTTGAACAAAGATGCCACACAAAAGTAGGCATGTGCCTGCTCACTTGTGTACTAACTTACCAATTGCTTTCGATTTATGTTAAGTTGTGTCTACCTGTGTCTTCATTCTGCTCTATTTTTACTCTTTATTCATTTCCATGTTTCAGCAACTCTTGACTTTTCAGCAAGCTCTTATGTCTCGACTTGGTCGGCAACCATCAGCCCAGTAAGTTAGGACCTGCCTTTCCATTTACTCATGTCTGGTTAAAGAAACCCTGTGAAGTTGTCCAAATTTGATAGCGTTATCAATGTAAACGTGGATCATTCTATATTTCTATTAGCAAGTTTTGACACAATCAGAATAATTAGGCAGATTGCTTGGAATTGTGGTAGTTTCATCTGGATTATTATAATGTATTTCTCATATTGTATTTGTTGATTAGTTGTTATCCCCTGTAATTGTTTTTAGTTCGCTAACAAATTGTTGTGCTCTTGCAGGGAACCAGGTCAAACTGGTGCAGGGACAGGTATCTCGTTTTATGTCTGAAACTCCAAAACCTGTTTCCTTTTTTTCTTTTGCATAACTTTTGTTAACTGCTTAGTCTTTCATAGTAAGTTCAGGATGTTTATCTATTGCCCTCATCTAAGGTACCTGTAATGAACAGGCTTAGTATAATTTTCTATTTTACTAGTGAGTTGTTATTTTGTATGGAGGGCCTCATTATTGATGATAATTATCTCACTTTACCACCACCCTTTTCTGAGTCCTAAGTTCTACGAGTATAGCATATTTCACCCAAAAAAAATTGCAAGATTATCGTATTTTAAATCATTGATATAAAGCAATTTTTTTGTTGAAGTTCTTAAGTGGATCTTCTTAAAGTTTTGATGACTGTCGGTAACTTGTGCTAAATTCAACTTACGGAAATGGTTATGCTTTTCTTTTTATTGGTTGTATAAAACCATTTGATATACGATTCGATTTTTAGTAATATTAGTTTTCTGTTTTCTATCACAAAAAAGATATATGAATAACTCATGAATTGAACCACACACCCCACCCCTCAAAAAGAGAACACGTACAAAAATGCCCACTTCCTTTAAAGAAATTAGAAAGTCCCTAAATAATTCAGGGAACGGCCGAATAAAACTACACATGATCCTCCCCCGCCCCCAAAAAAAAAAAAAAAAAAAAAAAAAAAAAAAAAAAA